TTTCAAGATTTAAATAACACGTGTGATTTATTTACATCCATCTTTAAATGGTGTTTCCACTCACCACAACAGACATTTCTTCTTATAGGAAAATAGTGATTCCAAAAAAAAATTCCACACAACTTTGTATAATGTATATGCGAATTGGTGTATAAAATCACCAATTCGCTAGATTTTAAAGAACCTCTAAAGAGAACTAGTATAAATCTAGGGATGTTTAATCTTTTGATAAGAATCCTGAAAATTGAAATGAATATGAAAAGATTGTGGGAGGGGGGGGGGGAAGGGCGCTCGTCGAACGTGGTCATGGTTTGACCATTGACCAAGTGTTCTGGGCAACCGGCTAAACACTGGTCCTAATAGAGTCCAGGGCCCCAGGTGGAGGTAAGGGTGGTACGATATTGCCTTTCGAAATAAAAAATGAATGATTAGGAAATTCACCCCCCCCCCTTGTGAAGGTTAGGAGGGGTGTGTACCACCTGCACCCCAGAAAATTCATCCGTGGTAGAAAAGTACCCAACTCTGGGTTACTATTGTTTCAATTTCCAGAAGCGTAGAACAGAACAATGGTAGTTAAACACTGTCTATATGAGTACGTTGTTCAAATGCTTTCGTACGCTGGAACAATAGTATCCATAGTAATACGAGATATCCAATGTTGTAAAATGATTGTCAGTTCCGTGAATGCATAACTACCATCGTATATCGTCCATTCTTTTTAAAGTGTCGTTGGAAATATTCCGTCTTCGTCAGCGTTTTTAATCAGAGGACAAAGAATAGGAGAATCCACCTGAACGGAGAAAAAAAAGGGAAAATAAACAATTAATTGCACAAAGTTTTTAGATTACAATTTCTAGATTTTGTCACCTGATGATGGAGTAAACTCGATGTACTTATGTAATTGATAAAAGAATAATGTTGGCTTACCCCAAGAATATACTGGCATGGGTTTGGTTCCACTAAATAGATTGAGACTTCTTGCAGATGATTGGATTTCTTACACCTGTAAGTTAAAATGTAAGTAATATTCCAGCCTGCCCATGCAGAATCAACTGATATCATTGGGAGTTTGTCGGTTAACCGAGTCAAATCCGAGCCCGAATCAAATGTCCGAGATCAAAATTTCGTCTGTATAGCTAGAATCATCCACTAGTTAAACCAACCTCAGTTTAACTTGTACAGTTCTTGCCATACCAGTAAGATCACATATTTCACCATTGCCATAATAATGTGTAACGTAGTCATCAGACTTTCGATTGGGATTCTTCTTTGCCCAGTCTCTGTGGACCTAGCAAACGATAAAGGACAACAAGGATATTGAAAGGGCCCTAGGTCTAGTGTTTTCGTAGGTAACATAAAATTGACTAGATGTTATTTTTGAGTAAATGGCGATTCAGGATTTTGGGTATCTCACTGAATAAAACTAATTGTTGAAGTATTTCAGCGTTTTGTTTCTAACATGGCGTTACACCATATCATTGAACTATAAATAAACTGGAAGGCTAACTGCTATGATGAAGGCCTATGATTTGATGAAGCCGAAATAGTTTTTCTGAGTTATGAGCAGAAATACTTGACCCCAAACGTTGGGCTATATATTAAATTGAAGCTATTGAAAATTGCTATTCGGTGTGGAAATTTCAAGACTTCAGCGAAAAGAAAAATATTTAAAAAATACAAAAACAACTGCAAAACGGCAAATTTTCGGTAACAAGACGCTCCATAGAGCGTTAACTCGCTGGGGCTATATACAAATACGCACATTACCATGTATGATACATACATGCATGCAGTACACAGCTATTTTAATTAAAATTTAAGGTTGTGAGGTTGTCCCAAGCTAAGCGGGAAACTAAGCGCGAGTTTTGTTCACTCTGTTTTGAACCATATCAACATATAACAGTGCTCTGCAGTTTATTTAGGTGAATACCATGTTATAATATTGTTTATTATCCCACTGATTTGCATTGTGCCCCAATGGCAATCATGCACCCTACTTTATTATTAAACCAGTCGATTTTGCTTGTTAATTAAGGTGAGAGTGCATGCTGCCGCTCTCAAATTAGTAGGCTTGTATTGCAGGTAGGTGGCTCAGTTTTGAAGTTTCTGTTAGTATAATGACCTCAGTTCAGGACTTATACAATCAGAAACAGTACTATTACATGTGGTCTACAAATAAAACTTCCTGCGTTTCCGCCGGCTAGGATTAAACTGCGCTTAAAAACGTTCAAAATAATTTTTGGCTAGGGTTAAACTGCACTTAAAAACGTGCGAAATATAATATTTTTGGGCTCAAAATACTATCAAAATGAAGAGAGAAGTGAGACGAATCTACTGGTGTACGGACGAAAAAGGGAAAACCAACGATACCAAAGTTATCAAGGATCAAACGTACTGCATTTTTTATAATTAGTTTAATATAAATTTTGAGCGATTTGTTAACAATACAATTTCGCTTGGCTTTCAAAGACAAACGCCATAAACCGCTAGAATACTGTTGTTTAGTAATACATTTGACATCCGTAAGTACAATTTCTTACGCTGAATCGAACGGTGATATTTTTATCCTTATTGCGCCATTAGACAGTACAAATACGAAGTCAAACGTACTGCGAGTGTCGAGGGATTGTCAACAACAGTAAACACATACTGCGAGAGGTCTGCGAGCGATTTAATAGTCAACAATACAATTTCGTTTGATTTTCAAAGGCCATAAATTGCTAGAATATTGTTGTTTAGTAATACATTTGACATCCGTAAGTACAATTTCTTACACTGAATCAAACGGTGGTATTTTTTCCTTATTGCGCCATTAGATTAAGCATTACAAATACAATATCATATTTCACACTGCAGTTTACGTTCACAGCTAACTATAAGTATTTAGGCCTTAGAGACTGTTGTTGGATAAATTTTATATTGATATGACACTAATATGCTTCTCATCAAGTAGTTATCTATTAAAACTACGTTATGTAGTTTAAGTTATAACCTTTTACCTTGAAATTGTGCATGTCTTTGGCTCGTTTTAAATTCAGATTCAGTATATTATATGATCGTGCACAGGAATTCAAGTTATTCAACGATCCAAATTTCGGATTTTCAGAGTCGTGCACCAAGAAAAATGCATTAACTAAACTAGCAAGAATGTCCAAAGTTAGACACAATGCTAAATCCATAGAAAACAGGTACAATTCGTTGAAAATTTTCACGAAATTGTTCGAAACACTTTGCTCACTCCACCAAGGCCGCCATTTTGAAAAGGATAAAGTGGGTAGCTCATTAATATTCTATTTTGTGGCTATACAAGAAAATTGCGATCCACTATTGGAAATCCACTAAAAATGTGTGCCGAAACCTATACTCGCCCGGGCACAGGTGCCCCAGCGAGTAATAACACAGTTTTAGTACACAGTTCGTACACAGTTTTAATACCATGACACAGGTCGTACACAGTTTTAATACCATTCAGTTTTAATACCAATAACACAGTTTTAGTACACAGTTCGTACACAGTTTTAATACCATGACACAGGTCGTACACAGTTTTAATACCATTCAGTTTTAATACCAATAACACAGTTTTAGTACACAGTTCGTACACAGTTTTAATACCATGACACAGGTCGTACACAGTTTTAATACCATTTTCCGCAAGCTAATTTCAGTTTAATAGGTTTTGTTTGTGGAAACACCACGTAAATTTATTTCAGTTTTTTTCGAACGGATCGCACCGCAAGTTATCAGTTAATAAAACCGTAGTATTCTTTAAATCGATGTCAAAATACGAAATTTCGCCACACTCCTTGCCAATAGCTCTTCAATTTCCGCCATCTTGGATTCAGTTTTTGGACTCGCATCTCACTGCTTTTTGTTTTGTTGGCATCGAGTTTGCTGACGTGATAAGCGATGCCGACCATAGAGATTATAAATAACACTAGAGGAGGCATCGAGTTTAAAAATTGGGAACGCAGCTAATGGGGGGCAAATTCAAGTCCCGGATATAAAATCGTGCTCTCATTGGCTGATTTGAAACTCGTCACCAATGGGAACACGAATACACATCCGGAACTTGAATTTGCCCCCCAATAGTCGCGTTCCCTTTTTTTTACTGAATTAAGATTACGATGCCTCCTCTAGTGTTATTTATAATCTCTATGATGCCGACAGGAAAAAGAACAAGGAAAAAGTCGCGTAGCGCGAATAAATTCGCCTCGTGGAAAACAGGCCTAAATGAAATTTCATATTCGGAATAGAATGCTTCTTAGAATTCGTTTTCAGTTGCACCCCGCAGACTTTAATTACTTTCATTAGGGAATATTTACTAATATTGCGTGCAAGGAATTTATTCCTTATACTATTACTTAAATACGTCTGCACGAGAATCTTGACGTTAATATACTGTATATAAAGTTTTGTCTATGTTTTCTTACAGTGGGATAATGTGGACCAAAGAATAAACACCATTCGTCGATATCTAGAGCAGGAGCAACTTTTTATAAAAGTAAGGAAACAGGATTTGTCTTCATTGGTTTTCTGTTTTATTATATTTGCAAATAAGCATTTAAAAGGTGGTCTCTATAAAGACAAAAACAACCCGATAAATATGCATGGTATTAACAAAATGCATTGTAAATATATGCTGCAGGCCCATTCGGCTGGTTTGGTCATGTCGTCTCAAAATTAATATGCATGAAGCTCTCATTAACTTATTTACTTTATGATTTAACTTATTTATATTGTAACTTTGTCTAATAGTTTTGGCACATCGCTATACCAGCTCATGCGATCTTATTTGGGGTTTAACAGCCTGTTCAATATATATAGACCTAATTCAGTATTAATTATTAAATTGTCTAATGCGTGCATGCATGTTTGTACCCGTTAAGGCCGAGGCCGATGCACCGGACGTGATTCGACCAGTGAGCTCCATATATAACTGGAGTAGGAACTTGGTTGCTCAAAGAGAAGCCAGTTTCGTGTTAACCGCGCATACAAAAACAATAGAAAGGGACTGGAACTGACGTCCAATAGCTGCTTCAATTTCCGCCATCTTGGAAAGGAGTGTGTTGAAATTTCGTATTTTGACTTCGATTTAAAGAATAATATTGTGATTTTATGAAATGAAAACTTGATTAGTGATACAGTCCATTAGAAAAAACTGGAACTAGCTGGGGAAAATGGTATAAAAACTCTTTACGACCTTCAGAGCTATTGGATGTCAATGGCCGCTTTTTTTGCTTCACTTCTCTCATTGACCGAATGACTGAAGTTCTTACTCCAGATATATATAGAGCTCACTGGATTCGACAACGCGGCAAAAACGCGGCGCGATTTTTCAGTTTTTGAAAGTTAATAAAACAGCCAGTGAAAGGAAATTTTAAAACTTGAAGATACGTGGACCAAATAACTTAAAATGTTAGAGCGCTTCTAAATATTTGAAAAACTTAAACCAGGATCAAAGTTATCGGTCAGTGAAAATCGATAAATTGCGCTGCGTTGTCAAATCTCGTCCGGTGTGTCTGGATTTTTACACATAGCGACGAGTATATTTAAATATGTCAGGATATATTATATTTTAGTAGTTTGTGACGTTATAAAACTACCGTATATGACACGTAAGAGATCTCTTTCCTTTCGGGTCGCCACCAACCTATATATATGAACGGGTTTTGAAATATAGAAATTATCTTTCTACAGAACGAGTCGAACACTAGCCACTATTGTTTTATGAAGTCAACCACAAAACACGATTATTTTAGCCCGCGCTCTAAATTTCAGTGGCTAACTTCATACCGCATATGAATTGCACTCGACGTCATCACGGCCATTCCGAAGGAACGCTAACCAAAATATATGTTAGCAGCAGTTGTATTTAGAGCGTGTCCAACATGGTCACCATATCTTCTTCGTTTTATAAATCTCAAGGGATTGATTGCAAACTAGCAATATACGTACATTGATTTTACCAATACAATTTTCCCTTTAAAAGCCTGTGGGGAGAAACAAGCAGAAAACCTGAAAAGCATCAAACGTGAATCATTTGAGGTATAGGCTCTCACGCGCATATTTTATTTTTTTAGAATATCCAATCTCAGTACGACGAGAAACCAAGTCCAAAACTCGAGAAAGAGGTAATAAACGATCAATCGCGATGCCATATTTAAATGCAATGCATTATGGGCCCATAGCAGCAATATAAATAAAAAGTTAGATCGAAATAAGTGTTATTTTGGATGCCAATAACAAATAGATCGTTTGGCGGTTGTGGTGTTAAACTCGGCTTTTCCATTTTTTGCTGTTGTTACTTTGAATCCATAGCCAGCATGCTGAAAAGTTGACCACGGTGGGAATCGAACCCGCGACTTTTGGCTTGTCAGTCCAACACTCAATGCATGCCAACTGAGCTACAAGGTCGGTTCTAGCTGGCAGATATTTCAGAACTCGTTCTAGTTCCTTCGGCTTCAATCTTAAGACACATGGCATGCAGATATCGAAGGCACTAGAATAAGTTCTGAAATATCACCTGCTCGAACCGACTCGACCTCGTAGCTCAGTTAGTAGAGCATTGAAATAAGAAAGGCAAAGGTCGCGGGTTCGATAGCCATCGCGGTCAAGCAACTTCAGCTTGCCCGGTGTGGACAAATTAAGAATAACAACAGCAAATAGACAAAAAAAAACAAGAAAAAACAACTGAGAATAGTTTTCAGAACTTATAAGCTAGTTGTGGAACCTGCATGTGTAGTTTCTTGGCTACATCGAATGCTCCTATAGATCATTGCGATAATCACCTAATACATATATAGGACTTTGCATGAAACTAAACATAAGTGAAATATTCAAAACAATGAAAAAATCTATTCTTCTCTGACTCTGCATGTGTCTTCTAGCCACTCATTGACTTATTTTTAGCTTTATTTTGATCATGCACTGGATCGCGACAGACGCGACTGGACGACAGTGTTGTTAAGTTTCACTCTTTTGTTCCATTCTATGCTTACGGATTATCCGATCCAAAAATGTGAACTGGGTGCAATAAGCATAAACATGCATCATAAGCTGATTAGTGATTATGTATACAGTATATTTGCGTGAATGAGCTGCTAATCCAAAAAAAACAATTTACTAAAAATAAACGGAGGTACATTATTTTGTGCTTTGACTCGAAGATTGTGAAACATTGCACATTGTGTACATAAATATTATCTAATTTGGAAAGATACGAGAAAATGGAAGTTTTTGAAGCGGTTGATTTTCACACAATAGCGGCGCTATCTTCAATCTTGATGCATTGTGCAACATAAAAAGTCCGATTAAAAATTGTCGTTTAAACCGCCATGCGGGAGATCTATTGTCATGGGCAGATTCTCGATAACAACAACGATGTCGATGTATATCAATAATACAATAATATCAATATGATTTTCAGTGGCGGAAATTCACTTCTTCCGGTGAGGGGGGGGGCAAAGCCTCCTAAATTTCCGACAACCCCCCCCCCCC